TTTGTCCCTTTGCAAAGTAATCTGTAAGAATGACTCCATGACAGTCCCAAAAAACTGAGAGCATGACCTTCCTTGCTGACTTTTGCACCTTTGCCTTTTTGGGGGAGGGGAATTGGCATGCTTTCACTCCATGCTTATGGTTTTGGCCTCTGGATCATACTGATAGATCAAAGATTCATCCATGGTTACCAGAAAACAACAACAACAAAATCCTCTTCATCCTGTTCCAGCAGCATCAACATCTATTTTGAAAGGCAACAATGTGTTTGTTTCTGGAAAGGGGTTAGCAAACATGTAACCCAGTGTGCAGACACCATGTGCAGTTTGTCATGAATAATTTCCCACACACTACCATAACTGAGACGAGTTCAATTCATTATCATTTAGATGATTGTTCGTCTGTCTTCCAGGATGAAACACTCCACTTTCTTCACTGTGGCTGCATCATCCGCCAATGATGGTCTTCCAGGTTTTGGCTCGTCTGTGAGGGACATGTGACCAGTTTGGAAATTCCATTTCCATCTCACTGTAGTGTCATAAGATGTGCAGTCGTTTCAATAAACTACCATCATCTCATCATGAAATTGCTGGGCACTATTACTCTTCAAATGCAGGAACTTTATCATGCTGCAAGCCTCAATCTTCTCCATCTTACACTTTAGTCTCTTCTGGCACAGCCTGTAACAAAAATAAAGGGCACAAAGAGCTGGCTTTTTCCACATCATGCACTTAGGGACTAATGATGACACTGACAAAATTTCATCAATATACCATAATAATGTCCAGGTGATAATTATTACTTTACGATACCCCTTCGTACATTAAAACTCTGTTATTGTAAGCATAAGGAACACAGGCACAAAGTAAGGAATATAGCAACTATACATAACATGGAAAGATTCCATCGATTTTCAGGGCACCTAGCACCAAATCCACAGAAATTCCTTTTACAGGAATAGGGGCAGTTCTAGGATTTGGTAATATGTACCTTCAGGTTGTTTCTGACTCTTGACATCCCTAATGTGAACCTATTATGGGGTTTTCATGGCAAGAGTTGTTTTTTGTCAGTTACAATAATGAGTCAAAAACTTCCTCCCAACCCATTATAATATTATAACTTAAAAAAATATTTATTGTAATCAACATTTGTTGCATAGGCCAGAATCCTATTGTGGTACTTTGTTGTTACTATTATGTCCATTCAAGTTGACTCTGACTTATGCAACCCTGTCATAGAGTTTTCTTGGCAAGAGTTACTCAGAGGCTTGCTGTTGCCTTCCTCTTAAGCTGTGAGAGTGTGGCCTGCCCAAGATTCTCCAGTGCATTTACATGGCCAAACTTGCATTTGAACCCTGGCCTCCCAGAATCCTAGTCTGACCCTCAAACCATTATATTCACTTAATGGCTCTAAAATGCATGTGATTTTTGTTTTCACTCTAAAACGACGAGAAGATATCTCAGTCTTATAGAATAAACAAATGAATAATATTAAAACTAAATTATCTGTTGTGGCTGTGTTCTTGAGTTAGGGATGGAATAGGTATTCAACTGTTTCCCAAATGTGGTTAAAATTTTGTGTTCCTGACCATTTGAAACACTGAGGGGAATTAAAACAGCGCTTGGAAAGTTCCTGCAACTTGCAGGAACTCAGCCTTTAAAGGGGGAGAACCAAGTATAACATTCCTTGAATGCTAAGCCCTTAAGTTGTGCACTTTAACTGAAAATTATGACTATTTTTCTCCTCTAATTCATTTCAAACTTGCCCCCAAAGGCTGTTCTTTCTCTTTCCCTTTCTCACCTGACTGACAAAGAATTGGGGAATCAGAGTAGGCAGGCTGGCCAAGAAAGAAGGGGAACACAAACTCAGAGCCCAGAGAGTCTATTGTTTGGGGGTATCTTGGATTAGGGGGTGAAAGGGGATTGATGGTGGTTTTTCCTGCAGGCCTTGGACCTTCTATGAAGCAAGACTAGAAAACCAAACCCCAAACTCCATTATGCAATACACCTTTATTAATTCCTGGTACCTAATTGATCCATTCATGTGCTGTCTCGTCCCTCTTCCTCAAAAATTGTGCAATCATGGCTGGAGGTAGATCAGTAACTGCACAGTTCTTCAGAAAATTGCACAGTTTTGAATAAAACTAAAATTATTTTTAAAATCCAGTTTTTAAAAATTACCCCCTCCCAAGAAAAAATACTGATGCCTTTTCTTCAACATCTTTTTTATTATATTTAATAAGTAAAACATATTAAAATAACTACATCTAAAACAAAAACCATGACATGATATAATAAAAAAGGCAGAAGATATTAATAACCACATGCAGTATAAAACCACATATAACAAATAATTGACTTTCTATCCCTGCAAAAATATATATTTTCAATACATGCATTTCACTTTTTTCTAACTGAACCTTTAAAAATTCAATTCCTCTGCTTTTTACCCTTTTCTTAACATCAGTCAGGAAGTAGGAAAACTGAGAATTCCTTACCTTGAATATAGGCAGACTCTGTCCCTTTGGTGGGCAAATTTGACACAGATGGAGGCCCAATTTTTGCCTGAAGTACCTGTTGCAGACCATATGGGCAGAAATACATCTCAACAAAGGAAAAGAACAGAGAAACCTAAAGTCACCAGTTTGGATAGAGGTGAGATTTGATGTTGTGCTTCCTCCCTTAGCTACATTAAAAACTGTGGTGTCTGGAAGCCTCAAGAGCAGAAACCCCTCTTCTTCTCATCTTCCCCAGAAAAACTCCTAGAGTTTTACTGTGATTGTAAAATTAATCTGGTTTTGCCAAAAAAAAAAAAGAGAAAACTATGGACAATTATCTTGAGGAGGGTAAAAGATTTATATATAGAGAGGTCTATTGCACCAACATCTGAAATTTGACATACTTCATCCAATGAACAGTGGCTTCTATGCCTGTTAATCTCATCCTGTTTTTATCCAAAGGCAAAACTAATTCTAGCTCTTTCCCAATAACAATTGTAGTAGTGGGTCCTCCAAAGAACACATATTTTCACTCCTTTCTTCCCCCTTCAGGCTGTATCCTGGCTGCTTAGCTTTCAACCCATTTTTACCACATCTCTAATTTAATTCCGCTTGTCCAACTTGTCCCCCCCTTCCTGAAAACTGGATGCTTGAGTGTATTACAACATTGAGCTCCCTAAATGCAACAGTATGATTGACTGTGGGCATCTCTACTGAGCTACTAAAAATGCTGTGTCTTGATCCACTGTGGACAATCCATTTGAGGGGAGATGAGGGAGATGGTAAGAAAGTGACAGAAGCACAGGGATGAGCATCAATACTTGTGTAGCAGCCCTCTCTTACACTTTTGAAGGACTTTTGAAGCTAGGACAAGCAGGTGAGGAATAACTACAGAATCATAGAGTTGGAAGAGACCACAAGGGCCATCCAGTCCAACCCCCTGCTATGCTGGAACTCCCAATCAAAGTAGTTCAGCCTCTGCTTAAAGACCTCCAAGGAAGGAGACTCCACTACTCTC